ACGAAAACAGTTTTTAAACTTTATCAGTTGCTGACGTTTTCTAAGTTTTTATATAAAGGTAAAAATATATATGAAAGGACTAATGATCACTAATCCAAAAATGTTGAAAAAAGACATGCATATCTATTCATGATAAACTGTGTGAAATCTACAGCAACTCATTTCACAAAAAATCTTACGAGAAAAAAAACTTGTCATGAACATTTCAGTATAACTTACGATCAATTTTTGTTGTAAGATTTTTTGTGAAAAGAGCCCTGCATCCCACAGCATATTTTAGGAGAGCTGGTGCAGCTGTTCATAACAAAATTGTGGAAAGATGGACAGACCAAAGGATAAACTATTAACTATAGAGAGACTAAAAATGATTTCAATTTGACAGCATGATTACAACTTACTACCATGTTTGCCATTTAGTAAATTATAAAATCATTTAGAGAGGATGTATGGTTCACTTATCCTGATCAATGGAAAACATGGAATATGATGATTTATTACATACACACTTGACAAATATCAAAACCAAGGAGCAGTGCTTTAATTGTTGTATCATAAAGTTTGACCATTCAATCATACTACTGTATGTGTAGCTGGAAAAAGTGATATGTATGAATCAAACATTCATTTAAAGCAAACATAATGTTGTTAAGAACTGTTGTAGTATTTAAAGCTTATTGTAATAGCTTGAATTAATAATATAGTATGAATAACACCTCCACGCAATGTAGATATAAAATATGTGTCTCTTATCATTGAGAAAATATGTCTCTGTATATTTGTTTTTGTTTATTTTTGTATTTGTATTTTGTAAATGTCAGCTGGTATCATTCCTGTATTGGAATTTACACCAATAAAATTATTTGATTTGATTTGATTTGATTTGACTCAAATTAGGATTAACTGGTTAAAGGACCTTTAAATTTTCTACATTATTTCTAAAAAGTATGGTTCCATTGGGAAAATATTTTCAGAGAGGATGGACTAGCAATTATATGATCTTTTAGGTAAAAAAAAAATAATGACCTTCTTTTACATATTATGATAAAAACACATCAGAAAAACATAAATAAAGGGAGATAACCAGGATTATCAATTTTCGACCATTGGTATCATGGGAGATAACTCTATTCTTTCTCTCAAGAAAAACTCAAAAGCACATGTAAATTATAAGTCAAATTTTTTTCAGTCAACATCAGTTTATTTATAATTTCTACCTGGTTTCTCTTACAGAATTTCCTTTGTTTACACCCTATACAAAACTTTAGACTTGAGTGACCCATTTATTGTGCTCTGTTTGGCATTTTGATTTACTTTTCAGTCTTCATTAAAATGTTCATATGGTACAACATACTGTATATAGGTATCAAATAGTCTTGACTGTACAACAAGGTTTCCTATGATGTCTTTAATTTGTGAATCTTAGCTAAAGGTTGTCTGGGTTAATGGAGGTGTTAATTACATGTCAATTTGTGGTTACGAAGTCATAAATAATGTTCAGCAACTGACTTCTTTCTTACTGTAGAATTTCATCAAATATTATACTCATTATAAACTTAATTCCTGACAATTTTGCAGTACAGGAACAATTCAAATAACAATTCAGAAAATCTTTGAACAAATGTATATTCTTATGTTTAAATTTGTAAAGAAAAAAACATTATTTAGGTTTTAAAATATGGATGTTAAATTGTTAATCACTTTTCATTTTCTTGAAGTTACAAATCGCAGTTGAAAACCATAAATACACATGCTGAAATGTCTTGCCAGCTTTACTGACCATGATTGTGTTTCTTTGAAAGTCATACAGGTATCGCATCAACAACTTAATCAATGATCCATGAAAATGAAGTCAAGGTCAGAGGGACCCTGTTGGACAGACATTTACACCATACAATCAACCATTCTATACACCAAATTAAATATATTTGACTTTTTGTATTATATAGCATTTTAGAAACAAGCATAACCATGAAAACTTAACATTGATTAATGAGCCATTGATAACAAAGACCATTCAATTTTATACCTACGAAAGGTGTCAAACTTCAAAGGCAACCAATTCAAGCTAGTCCTGAAATTGTAGTTGGCAAAAAACAAAATTGCTAACTGGTGTCCAGAGAGAACTCATAATTAGATATAGGAAGATGTGGTATGAGTGCCAATGAGACAACTCTCCATCCAAGTAACAATTTATAAAAGTAAACCATTATAGGTCAAGGTACGGCCTATGGTGCTATGGTTTTTACCATGGTGTTGTCTGAAAAATTTAGAATGTATTATAAAGTGCAATCTATATAGGGAAACAGAGCTATTTCAAATCCCATGGGGTTATTCAATCTAAGTTCTTAGAAGCACTGAAGGGTAAAAATTGCATCCTTGGGAACTAACAATTATATAACATCCTATTAAGCATTTCTTTTTGTCATTTTTGGATTTATTAGCTCTTTAATAAGTTTTGGATTTTTAAATATTTTTAGCATTGAGTATCACAGAAGAGACATTTACTATGGAAATGAGCATCGGCTGCAGTAAAATTGGTAAAATTAATGTTATTAGAAGGCAATATTTTGAATTGGAGATATAAGCCTTTATTCATATTTTTGTAGTTGATTCAATGTGTGCAAAATATTTGCCACAAGAAGTTAAGCAAACAACAATCAATCAGCCTTCCCCTTCTGATTTAAAAAAGCTTGGGACTAATTGGTAATGATCTCACACCAGGGTTGATCTTAACCATTTTCAAATGGGGCCCCCATTCAACAGAATTGGAAACTTGTTCTGCAATAAAACAGATTCAGGAATGTTTTTTCCTCCACCAATATAAATCCTTTTATCATCATGTTGTATATGTTCATTTTGATTATTCAGCATGTTTAAACAATTGAAAGAACAGCTTTGATTATAGGAAATATGAAATTATATTTGTGATATGTATAATGGAAATAGAAAAAATAATGAGATTTAAGTTGACTTGTTTGGTTTAATCAGTCCAATTATTGTGTCCAAAATTTATGAGAACCAGAGAGCAAATTAGGCTAGAGTTTTGATATCAAACACCAATCATGCCAATGGGATTTTAGGAACAATTTTTGTCTATTTAAAAACGGAAACTGCCAAAAATTAAAGAGAAGCTACTACATTGTAGGCCCCTGATGACCTCTCTTGGTATAACTTTGTGACCGTAAATTTGTTTAATTAAGCAGTTCATCAGCAGATCACACAGAAAACAGACAACTAAACAGTACATTATCAACAACCAAATAAAATTTGTAAAGGGTTCCGCTGAACCCTGTGTCTCCTCTGCCATTGCTGCTGTCAATGTAAAATAGTAATGTCGACTGTAAAAAGTGAGTCCTTTATTCAGTAAAATACAGAATTAATGTGAACACTGAAGGGTGAGATTGCTTTCATTTTGTGATTTTTTAAATAAAACATTTAAAAGTATTTTGCTAGGCAAATTAAATATTTGAGTTGGAGTTATCTTCGTTTGTTCATGATTGTACATTTGTAGTTGAACCTTTTTTATAACAGTTTCATACATGTAATTTTTAATAAAAAAAAATGTTTTCTTGACAAGTATGGTATTTCAAATACACATCATATTTTAACTTAAATATCAAAGTATAACATATCATCAATAAATTGTATGACATTGACTGGATAGGATCTAAATAATGATCACGTCACTGCACTATTTTGTTTAACTATCAAAGGTAGAGATAAACCTTAGAAGATATAGATATCAATGATTCATGTCAGTACCATAGGATTTTGATTGCACTTCATGCAATCTTTACCCCCAAAAAAATCAAATTTTTTTTTCTTTAGATGGTATTTCTTGATCTTGAATATTAGCTTATGTCCAAATTCCATGAAAGTATTTTATGTAACAAATCTTTGCAGGATCTTTTTTTACCGTCGACCTAGCTTTGGATCAGGGAGACTAGGTTTCAGAAGTAAAGGTCAATTGAACATGATATATAAACAACAAAGAGTCATAGAAGTTTTATTTATTCATCTGATATTTGCTCTGCTTTTCATATCATCAGAACTGATAATAAAAAAACACAAGTCCTAAATTAAAATATTACAAACAGAGAAAAATATATGTGCAGCTAGTTTCTGTACTGGTTATGGTTTAAGAAGAGATAAGATTCAGATTAGGGCACAATTTAAAATATGCATGTACAGTCAAATCTGCCTTAACGGTCACCTCTTTTCAGCAGTCACATGCCTCTAACAGTCACTTTCAGACCCTCCCAAATGTTTTCTCTATAAAATTTAACTCGTTTCTGCGGTTATCTGTCTAACACTGTCAGCGGTCACCTAATTTTCGCACGAAATCGTCATTTTAATGTTTTTAACTAACTTAATAATCATGATGAAAAATATATGTGTAAAGTATCAAAGCCAAAATAAAAATCCGAACCCTTTGCAACGGAGATCGTGCAAAAGGAGGAGGTGAATTAGTGAATTCCTCGTGTTTCATATCTTTTCATTTCCATTAAGAACGGTATCACCGACTTATTTCTCCACGAATATAAACATATTCCCAATGTTTTCTTAAAATTTACAGCACCGGAATCCACCATTATTTTTCACTGCCCCAACTCTTATAACTTATAACTCTACCGATTGAATTCAAATTATATTTTTGGGTGATTGAAAACACTAAAACAATTTGCCCCAATCTCAGCTTCGAGCAATTTCGGAATTAGAATAATTTGAAAACTCGTTTAAAAGGTCACCTCTCTTGAGCGGTCACTTTTGATACTTCCCAAGAGTAACTGCTTAATACAGGTTTGACTGCATTTCAAAATTTAATTTGCTGCCATTTGGGATTTTTCAGTGATGGGGCATGGAGATGGGGATTGGGATAGTCAGGTCACCTGACTCAGGTGGCTCCAAATACTATAGTTAGGTCATCCCTGCCACAGCTGGATGGCATACATACATTTATATGTCCAGCTATATTCAATGAGGTTAGATAAAATACTGACCTGGGTTATACATAGATTCTAATACTGCATCTGGACTAGTTAATGTTGCCCGAGCATGAGCAATACTTTTTTCAGACAATCGTCTCATGGCAACTGGTTTGGCAAGGTAGTTCTGTAATGACATGTCATGATGTAAGGAAGATTCACCGGTATCCATGTTACTTCTATGGTGTACTGTAACAGCAGGATTTCTCATCTGTTTTGGCCGATCTGGACTGCCTGAAGTGAATATAACACTTTTATTTTAAATATAATTTTAGTGCATCTGAAGCATTTTTCTAGATTTTCCTTCATCAGGAACTTTCCACCACAAATATTTGAATGCCAGGGATGTACAAATATGTATAACCATTATATAGGAGCTATTACACCAAAATGGACTTAAAAGATTATGATCATTAGCCAAATTGGTCTTAGGAAAATTTTACCTAAATATCATAAATATGACAATAACAATTAATCTTAAGTACACATTTTAAATGTTTAAACCAAACTAATTTACACTTAAAAAACATCAACGGTAAATTTGAAATCAATCTTTTTATATATATTCATAATTGTTCCATTTTGCAATTATATGTGTGGTTCATTGTGTGGTTAGTGATTTTTTAAATATTTTTTGTAGTCAACTCCATACCTGGGGGAGTTGGAGGTAAATTTTTTTCTTGTTTCATTGCGTAATTAACAGGATGTGGTTCATACAGCCCAGCAGTTGCTGTGCTTGCTGTAGTTCCCATGGAAACACTGTTGTCTTGTGAATGACTGGCCATGTTGTGAGGTAAATTACCAATATCAGTGGTATTGTAACTGTCCATGTAGAATCCAGCAGTTTTCCCATCATTTCCTGAAACAAACAAGAGGTGTACATGATTAAATAGTTATCTGAGAGTGCATGAATGGTGTTTGTTGTATCCTTTCTCTGGCTCTTATTCTAATATCTGTTATACATGTATATATATTATGTTGAATGATTACCAATTCATTCTAATCATCTACTAAGAACTTCAGAACCTAAATAAAAAGCTATACCACAGGGATTGAAGTTAAAATTTTGGCATGGTAGCCCACCGCTTAAATTTAGTTAGCCAAATTATATAGTTCTATACAAGAAAAGCAGAAATTTTATTAGCCCACACCAAATTTTAGGGACCATTGGCGAGTGGGCCCCTGCTTATTTCAAACCCTGTACCATGAGCACAAGATAATCCTGATGTAAACATATTGTAGATGGCATTAAACTTACCAGGCAGTAAAATGGCCCTGCAGAAAACTTGCAGGAAGAAATTCTTAGGCTTATACAAATTGCCTTAAATTTGACAGTTTAAGTCTGCAATTGCAAATCCCAAAATTTATAATTTGAAAGGAAGCTTACTTATACAAATCCAAACAAGAGTGTAAAGTTTTAAGTAAATTGATCCAAGCAATTTAAGTTAGAGTTCAAAATTTGGAAATCTGTCTTAAATCTGACAGTTAAATATATAGATATAGGAAGATGTGGTATGAGTGCCAATGAGACAACTCTCCATCCAAGTTACAATTTATGAAAGTAAACCATTATAGGTTAAGGTACGGCCTTCAACACGGAGCATTGGCTCACACTGACCAGCAAGCTATAAAGGGCCCCAAAAAATTACTAGTGTAAAACCATTCAAACGGAAAAACCAACGGTCTAATCTATATAAAAACGAAAAACGAGAAACACGTATGAACTACATAAACAGACGACAACTACTGTAAAGTCCATTAAAATCCAAATAACAAATCAGAGAATGACCCTAGCTTCCAAGTTCTCTTAAAATTACCAAAATTGATTTAAGAAATTTCCACATCCTTGGTTGTTAGCACACCCAATAACTGTATACCTGAAATCTGCTTTTATTGGTTCCAATTTTTGACAGAATTGTGAACTTGGCTACATCTTACTCACTGTAAGCCCTAAAAGGAGCATTTGTGCTGTACATTTACCATGACTAACATATTAACATTTTCTTTACAATTTCTGTTAATTGGCTTCATTTTTAAATACATGTTTAAAGGTTTAAAAGGGGCATGAGGGGATTAGCTATGAAAAATTTTTTTTTTTTGTTCATTCATTAATCATGTTAATGAAAGTGAAATTCCCCTTTAGCAGCCAGTTTGGTTCAATTTTGTCAAAATAAGCTAAGAAGCTGAAGAATTATTCACTTGCAAGTAAATCATTGGACCTCATATTTGAATCCGTATTCATGAGACCTTCAATTTAACCCCTTAGCTTGAGATGGGATACACATAAACTAGGCATGTTCAGCTATTAAAAGGCAAAGAATGTCAACATTGAAAGTGAAACTAGTGTAAACCATTTGGTTGACTGATTCGATCCACAAAAACTCATTCTTATACAGGTAAAAACGATGATTAACATATTTTTTTAACATTTAATATGAAATCAAACAGACCTAGATCGGGTTATATGACCATTGGCAGTCTTTGGAGGACACCTTGATGGTAAATTACAAATGTAGATGACGCCTAGACTAACATACACACGAAATGCTGATAGATATTATCGAGTCTATGCATTGAAAATTGATTATTTTAAAAAAATTTTATTTGGATATACGTTTTAGTATGTTATAAATCAAATATGAGAATTTGAGTCAAATCGGTGATTATGAATTTGACACTTAATGCCCCTTTAATGTACATGTATGGAAATTTTCTGTTCACACCTCAACATTTAAAGATGAATATTTTGATAGACAAAACAAAATGATTATAAATCCAGGGTTCTCAATAAGGCGTGTTCATAAGTCCTGTCCTCATTAAATTCTGTCTGGACTCATCATTTTCAAAACTTGTGATGAGTCCAAAGATGCATTAAGACTGCAAAATGTGGTATCAACTGAGCAGTGAGCATATATATAATCATTTTATAACAAAAGTTTAAAAATAATCTAAATCTTATGTCATTTCCTTGCTTTATTTAATCGTGTAGACTGAAATAATAAATGTCATAGCAATAAAGTTCTATGTTTGTAGTGTTGGACTCTATATATAATAACCATTTAATCATGTACATCTAAAAATGATGAGTCCCTGGACTTGCCTTCAAAAATCCTTATTGAGAACCCTGATATCATGCCATCCTTCCAATAATCTTTAATCAGAGCTCTTGTGACTTGTGAGCAGATTGCTCATTTGCAATGTAATCTGCATTTGTATTATTAAGCAATGGAAATAAGATTCATGCACAACTTAGTTATTTTCAGTAATAAAATTTTTTTTTTTAAAGTATGGTTATACACATGCATAGACACGTCACTTTGAAGCTTGAAAAATTTGTCATCATTAAGAAATTGCTTAACATGGACAGGACCGAAAAAATGTTTCCATCACTGCACTATGTTGTTTGTCTGATATATTTACCCAAAAAATAAACATCAATCAAAATGAAACAATTATAAGTAAATAATGATGAAGAATATAATTAATGCAGTTTATTTATTTTAGTTTTAATTATTGATAGATTTGAAAAAGACACAAAAAACAATGTACAATTGTGTGCTTAGTTGCAACACTACAGAAGCCCATTTAAGACCTCCCAAAAATATAATTTGAATTCAATATCACTAATTATCATATGACTATAAATTTTCTGTTTTTTCATTGGCTAAAAGCATAGGAAATCCTCTTTGATATAACATTATATTCACCACGGCAAAAATGATGAGAGGTAAATATAATATTTGGAACAGCGTCTGTGTACCTAAATATAGATATTCCAAGGCAACGTCAATGAGATAGGTTAATGACGTAATGCAAATTCTCGTTTTTTCTTTTTCTGCTTGTTTTCTGTGTATTTTTTTTAGTTAAGTTTATTGGATATTTCAACTTATGAAAACTAGCAACTGCAAAAGCAGATGATATATCTATTATAAAAACAGGGAGCAGTTTATAAAAGTATCTTGAGCACATATTAGAAAATTGGAGAAGGAAAAAAAGTAATATAATAAAACAATTGTTGACTTTTGATTTCAGTTGATACAATGATTTATCAACCCCAGATATATATATATGGCATTCAACCCTTGGCCGTTGGAATCAGTGAATATCATATCTCTGGGATTGATAAATCATTGTATCAACCTCATCAAAAGTCAAAAATTGTATATTAAAATTGTTATCACAAATTGTATTTGTTATCACAGATTTAATTTATTATCACGAATTATGGAATTAGTTACATTATATAACAGTTTTTGTAATTCATAATAACGGATTTAATTTGTTATCAGTTATTCCTGATAACTATTTCTACGAATTCGTGATGACAAATTTAATCTGTTATAACTGTTTATAAAAATCATTATAACGATTTTAATCCGTTATCACAAATAACCAAAAAAAATTGTGATAACTAATTCAATACATTATAACGGTTTAAACAATGATTCATGAAATTCGTTATAATGATGTTATCAGGAATTACAAAAAATTGTGATAACGAATTTAATTCGTAATTACTAATTACAGAAGCTGGTATAACTAATTCCGGAAATTCATAATCACAAATTTAATCTGTTATAACGAATTTTATAATTCGTTATAATGACTTAAATTCATAATTTCAAGTTAAAATATATATTTTTGGGACGTCCTAAATGGGCCTCCGTACAACACAAATGCATATGTACAATTGAAAATGTTGCTACAATATACCTTATTTCAAGGCATTATTCCCAAATTTAAATGCCTATTTCACAGAGAAATATTATTTGCAAATTCCACATTTTAACTAAAAAATAAACCACTCAAGCAATAAGCGATAAGTGTTGCCGTTAAATAATTATTATTTACATTTGGACCAAACTTTTGACATGTCATATACATTATGATCAATTGATTGGTGATTGCTTTCACTGCATCAACCAAAAAGATATATAATGATGAGGGCTTTTTTTTAATGAATTTTATTAGAAAAATCTTTTTCAAAATTTAAAATAAAATCTCTCATCAAAGAAACTGTGGATATAAAGTTTAGCAATAATCATCACAAAAATAAATCAACTTTTAAATGTTAACCAATTTCTTTTGAAAAAATCAACAAAAACTCAAATTTATGACTAGGACATGATGTAGGAGTACCCTTGATAAATTAAACATATTGTTAATCATGTTAATGTTAAAATACTATGAGCAAAATTATCAACAGATCAATTATGCAGTTATTTGGATGTTATAGTAGTCTCAGTTTGGATATTTGGAAAAGATGTGGTGTTTTAATATGATTATAACATGTGGAGGCTTGTTAGGACAAATTAATAAAATATTGAAATGAAAAAATTTTTAATGCATGGACGAAAAAATTAACTCTTTTCAAACAAACTTATAAATCTATACTTTTCTAGAAAGCAAACAAAATATTTTGACAACTGCGTCTACAAAAACTAATTTATATCGTTTACAAAGTTTTAGTTTTGGGGGATTTTTAATGAGTATTTGTGTATAACTGTAACAACATTTTAGCGGGTATTAACACGTCTTATATGGCATTACATAATGATGTGTAAATATCTACAAGATGGCCACTATGTGTACTGACCAAGGTCATCAAAAACTGACCCATCTGGTTAACGTGACCTAGCTTACCAAAATTTTCTGCTCCTGTTCTCTGTGAGAAATGTTGCAGTTGTGCCATTATGTGCGGATCCATTCCAGGTGGAAATTCACAAAAATCACTCTCCGCCATGGTTTAAAATTTCAATATTTTTTCTATAAACATTGAACGGTTACGTCATTACAAACTTCGGCCTTGTCCATCCTTCATAATCAGACGAGTCCACATTTTTCCTTGGGGCTATCGATTCCTATTGTTACCTTTTGGGGATGATATTTGAGACAAAAATTATCTGAATAGTGCATGTGAACCTTGCTTTAATAAAGTATAGTTTGTCATTTTGTTAATTTAATAAAATATGTCGTAAAAGCGATCACCTGATTCACTTACAAAGGCGAAACAAACTGGAGTCTTAACCCGTACTGAAAATCAATTCGTCCGTTACGCCAAACCGATAACTGACCAGTCACGTGATAATGTTTATTGATAAAATTTCACGCCACGTGCTTGTGAGGTATTGATCGCATTAAGCTCAAACAAAATAAGTGCTCGAAATGATAAAAATATAAATATAAACTAAATAGTAGTAATGTGTAATGGCACACCATTAGAGATCTCGTATATTACCCAGGGCCACGGACCATCATTCTATTTTCCGTGTTAGCAGATACATATATTATAATACATTGACAATGTATTATATCTTATTATATCTGAGACTTATGTGTCTAACTCTTTTGTTAGTTATAGCAGAGACCTGAGACTACTATAACACACATGTGTTATAGCAGTCCAGGCGATGATCCAGCCATTTTTAAAAGGCATATAAAAAGGGGGGTCCCCGGGCCATACAAAAGCATTAGTTGCCAAACAAAAAGGGCTGTAGTCTGAGCAGAGACATATATATATTTTTATATACATCTCTGGTAACAGCCGTTTTCAATAAAATTTCAGTATTGAGTAAGTAAATTTTATTTAGACATGTTAGACTCGGCACATATAGATTATATTCGATTATATTCCCTCATTGACGTGTTTTTGTTATTATCACCTTTTTTGTTTGTATACTCGGGAACAAAGTTTTTATTCTATTGAAATCTGTTCATAAATTTATCTTGTTCAGACATATTAACAAAAGATGGAACTATATCACTTAAATTACAAAAGAGTATATTTCTATTAAATTCTAACGCTTTACATTTAATGAGGAAATGGAATTCATCTTTAATTCCATCCTTGCAAATTGGACAAATTCTCTGTTCTAAAGGCGTTCTAGTATATCTACCAATTTGCTATTTCTAATTCTAATTTTTACCATTTTAGAAATAACACTTTTGTTAAGGTCCAGTAGGAGATATTTTTCTAATTCGAAATTATTTTTAACTTTGCGATGCGTTCTTAGTTTATTACCATGACTATCTTTATTAGAGTCACAAAAAAGAGCTTGTTTCCAGGATTTTATGAATTCCTCCTCTAATTTCTTTTGAAATGAAAAAAGTAATTTTGTCTTTGACATAGTATTTTGATTTTCCCAAACATGCTGAAAACCAAGTTTACCTAATAACACTTTTATTTTACTACAAAAACCATTAGGCATGTTAAAGTTTTCACTGTATGCTTTCTTTACCATACTCTAACTATTCATATTAATGATATTAAACCAGATATTAATTGTATGTTTAAGGGCTGACAATGAAAGTGGAAATAAACCTAATTCAGAAAGTACGGCATTATTAACATCACCTTTATTTACACCCAATAACAATTTAGCAAATTTGATTTGAATCTTATTTGGACTAAAGTTTGCATAGTTTAACTCGATGGTAGTATTTTGTGTCACTAAACTAACAGTAGCCCAAAACTCACTGCTGTATAATAAAATAGGTTTAACACATGAATCAAAAAGCTTTAAAAGAGGGACGAAAGATACCAGAGGGACAGTCAAACTCATAGATCGAAAACCAACTGACAACGCCATGGCCAAAAATAAAAAGACAAACAGACAAATAATAGTACAGATGACACAACATAGAAAACTAAAGACTAAGCAACACGAACCCCACCAAAAACTGGGGGTGATTTAAATGTGGTAGTAAATTCATCTTTTCAGAAAATAATAATTTTCTAATACAAAATACAGCTTTGCTAGCCTTTTTAGATAACTGATCAATTGCTGTAGTAAAAGATCCAGATGATTTAAAAATTATACCTAGATACTTGTATTCGTCAGTCAGCTCTAGTAGTTTTCCATTGTAATATAATTTGTGTTTTTTAATTATTTTACCTGTTTTATTGAATATTATAATCTTAGTTTTATTAGGATTAACAGATAGATTCCATTTATCACAAAATGTATTTAATTTATCTAAAGCATTTTGCAAGCCAGATGCAGATTCTGATATTACTACTAAATCGTCTGCATAAAGAAGACAAGACACTTGTTTATCATCTAGGCATGCTGGATCACATTTGTGGTCAAACTTCTCAACCAGTTCACATGTATCTGTCTCTGTTTATAAATATGTAACGTCCATCGGTCGCCGAGAGATTGCACATATACACAAAGCGCTTCCAATCACAACCGCTTTAGCGTGGACACCCTATTTCTCTTTGTGTTCTAAATTGATTTTTTTTATATTTCTCTTTTTGCTTATTTTATGTGTTATACAATCTTACACTAAACGTAAAGGCTATACTTGCTGCCCTCTACTGTTATTCTAAGAGTAGACGGGGACAGGACAATAGGGACTCGGGGTTAACGGATATATATTTGTTCAATCATTGAAATTTTAATTCGTTTTTCGTATTTCCTATCTATTTTTAAAACTATCAACGTTGACAGCAATATTTGCATATTTACCATATGTCTCTGGCAATGTGACGCAAACTATGGACATGGAAAGTCACGTTAATAATCCAAGGTCAGGTTATAGCTGGTATACTATTCATAGGTTCTGGAATAGTATAAAGCTGCGAAATGATAAATTTGAACTGAAAATCGAAAAAAAAATAATGTATTTTCTGAAATATTCTTTAATAAATTCTTTCAAAATAAATGTACATTTGAGTAGAAAGCACATGACAAATTGACAGAAAACGTTCTTAAATGTGTCTTAAAATCATCAAATCTCCAAAACTAATGCATAGATTTTCTTTTAAAATTGATATGTTGTTGATACCAAGGAGGTTGTCTCATACAACCTCCTTGTTGATAAATACATTTCCTTTTGATTGATATAAAACAATCATAGGGTCATCGACTTAGCGACGGCGTAAAAACGCTTATCTCGACGTTTTGAGTGATTTTCGACTGATGAAGACCGAAACAACGAAGTCGGTGCCGTTTATTATTATTTCACATCTTTATAACATAAATTTATGTATCATTCAATTTAATAACTTCGGAGAGCGCCGCGCTTAGCACTTTGCGTGTAAAAGCACCCTTGCAACAATTTTTTGGGACCTTAGTTGTCAATGTCCTATAGTACAAGGCACTATTTTTACCCTACCCTGCCAATCATATCTTTTTTTAGTACTTCATGTCGACAGAACCTTCTAAAGTGAATAGTTGTTCAACAACAATAACAATATACTTTATTTTGAAAAATTTCCTTGTCAGGTGGTAGTGTATAGGGATATATAAAAGCCTGACTGTTGAAAAAAGTAATAAAAAAGAAAAATATTTCTGACCATCCACTATTAATCATACCCTCCTTTTCGGTAATTCCATTTCGACAGAACCTTTTGAATTAAATATAGTTGTTTAATTTGTTAACGTTCCATATGCAGGACATATTTGAAAGCAACTATTACTCCATGCTATAGAGGAGTATCCGTTTTGCTGTGCTTGATGTATAATACATACACAACATAAAACAAACAATAATCAATCAATTAATCATAGCCTTTTCAGAATGCCCAGTTGTGCAATTGAATCAGTTCTGCTGGAATTTTAAATTGAGCAAGAGTTCTTTAATACAGATGTCAGGAGCCTGTAATTCAGTGGTTGTCGTTTGTTGCTGTGTAACATATTTCTTTTTTGTTCATTATTTTGTACATAAATTAGGCCGTTAGTTTTCTAGTTTAAATTGTTTTATGTTTGTCATTTCGGCGCCTTTTATAGCTGAAAATGCGGTATGAGCTTTGCTCATTGTTGAAGGCCGTACGGTGACCTATAGTTGTTGACTTCTGTGTAATTTGGTCTCTTGTGGAGAGTTGTCTCATTGGCAATTATACCACATCTTCTTATTTTTATGTAAACTTTTTTTCTTTTTTTTTCTTGCTAGAATGACTTATTTATTATAATCTGCAGTTAATCAGTAGGGTTGATGATTTGTATTAAACGGGATATAGACCCCAATAATCGGACCACACGCCAATCTCTGGCCAGTCTTATCTTACGTATGATCGAATAGTTCTGTTTGTATTTTGTTATATTTAAAAGTTGTATTGTTTTCATTTAAAGTAAATCAGTGTTAAAATTTCAAAACAGAAGAGAGGCATATGAAAAAAAAAACGACTTTTGAAAGATCTCAGTTGTTTTGATTTTCAAGGCAAAGCTAGGCGAAAGATACCAAAGGGATATCCAAACTCGGAAGTCGAAAACCATAACCTTGTAAAATGTAACGCTTAGTAAATACTTGTAGGGTGGTTTACAAGTATCTTCAAGACAAGGAAGAACAAAAGTGCGTTTTCCCCTCAAGACATAACTTGTCAAAAATAACATATGTCAAAATAATAATGACAAGTCCACAGATCATTTATTTGTTTGTTTTATACTCCTGCTCGACGGTTTATTCCCGATTGTCCCACTTTTTAAAATTTTAGAGTTCTGATTGTCCCACATGAAAAGTTCTGGTTGTCCCACATTATTTTATGAATTGAAATGTTCTTAGATAAACAAGGTCATTATTGTTCATTTTGCTAAATAAACAAGAATTAATTATTGTACATTTAATATTAATTTTATGAAAGTATACACAAAAATGTTTTTTAGATCATTAGATTAATGCACTTTTGATTAAAGAAATATGATATTTCTAATTTATAAAATATATCTACAATGTTTTGTTATCTATAAAATATATCTACAATGATATGTTATTTATAAAACAAATGCTAATACCGTAATTTAAATTACTTTTTCTCTTTAAAATTTTTAAATAATGATATAGAAATAATGCATGCAATTTAAAAAAAAAAGTGTATAAACTCATTTACATTCTAC